AAAATAACATTGAAAATAACGTTTACCTCAGAGATTTTTGCAGATATCACCAGATCTTTAGCAGTAGTACTACAACACTTGAAATTTTGCAAGAAAATTTTAATATTAATATTTTTTTCCGATTTATTTTCCGTCGAATGCAAATTTTTCTGTCCAAATTCTGCAGATAACACGATGGAAAATAGAGCGATCTCATTGGTCAAGAGCTCACGTGACAACTCGGTAATTGCTTGTCGTACCTCCTCTGGTCTATGTTCATACACGCAATATGAGCCTGGATTGAAAACGGTACGTCTGTGGTGTGTTAATGGTCTTTTGTTAATGGTCCATTGTCGTTGGTTTACCTACTTGTATGCTTCCGTCCTCCTTTGTCTTCCCCTCAGCCTTCGGAAATATTGTCCGCTGAAGACCTCTTTCCCGACAATCCCTAATATGTCTGACCATAAGTTCACTTGTCCCAAAGTGATTTAGGCAGTACGGACAAAAGTGTTTTGCTTCCTTTTTACCGCTCACCTGACCGGAAAGAAGAGGGCTCAAACACTTCACAACAATAAAGTGGTTATCGTGCCAGAGGAGGTTGATAACTTTTTCGTACTCCTCGGTCGGTTCCGTCAGCAACTGGACGTACTTTGCCGTAATTAGGCGGTCGCCGTCCGGATCCGTTTCCATAACCTCTTCGATCATTGTTCTTTGAAAATATCTTTGTGTCCTTTACAGCAACAGGAAATGTCAGTCCTTCCAATTTATACTTCTCGGTTTGCTTCCTGAGAAGCTTGCTAACGACGTTCGCTTTTTTCTCCACCGGATGTAATGCACGGGTAACTGCGTACTTGAAGCACATATCGTCTTCATTTTTTATGTTGATGACCGTTTTCTTGCTGGTAATGAATTTGGGATGTTCCGAAAATCCGGTTCCCTTTACGATCTGATACTTCGTAATCTTTACAATCATCCTTACAACCTTCTTCAATGTCCATCCCGATTCGTTCTTCTGTTATTCGGAAATGTTGTTTGAAATTTTTTCCGACGCTCGTCGTACTTTTCCGGGATGTTGGTTGTGGGGAAGATGTTGGATGTAAAACTACTTGGATAATAGCTGTCCGTCGTGACCTCTCCCGTGATAGGATCCGTCTCTCCCATGATGCATTTCAGCCGAATCTGTACTTTCACCGGCTTCTGTACGGACTCAATCAGTTTCAGAACCTACACCTTCGACAGGGAGAGGACCTGCTTATGGGTTAGCGGAGCGGTCATGGAAATTGTGTACTCACTTACCGTTTTGCCGTGTGCATGCTTAGTGCTTGTAATACTGGGGTGAAGCTCAGTTTACATCGTTTGCCCCAAATCTTATTTAGTTTGTCCTACAGTTTTAGCTGAAGCTGACCAAACTTCTTCTTACTTTTCCACTTACCCTGTCTAATCCTGCGGTTCTGCTCGGCGCGTCTCTTCCGTTCTTTCTCGTTCCTCCTCAACATTTGCGATTCCTTCTTCCACTTCTGGGCTTCGACCTTCCAGTCGGAAACCTCTTTCCGTCGTTCTCTTTCCTCCTTTTTGATTTCTCGTCCCCATTTCCTTGCCTCCCTTGTTGCCTTCCGTGCGTCGATCTCAATCTGCTTTCTGCGTTTGCAGAACTGATCCGCGGTGCTTTTGATCTCCTTTTTCCATCTTTTGTTCGCTGTCTTTTTCTCCTGCTTGAGAATTTTCCATCTTTGGGTCGCTGTCTTTTTCTCCTGCTTGAGAATTTTGTCGAAATTCTTGTTAATTTTAATCAGTCTCCTGAGGTCCTCTTTCTAAATGAACCTCTGCGTCTTCCTGTATTCCGTTCTTGCTTTCCGTCGTCGCTTCCCCGTATCCTTTTTTGCCCGCTCTAAGGCGTCGTTCTCCATACCTTCGATAAGTACGTTCGGACAAACAGTTCGAATGTTGATGGCTTAGATTTGCCATTATTTTATTATAGGGAATAACTTTTTCTTGGATATGGTTACCTCCTAAAGTTGATTCTGCTTTCCAGACCCTTAAGGTTTGGAAAAACAATGGCAACTCTAAATCCAAGTTTCCGAACTTCCGGACCTAGTGTTAGTACCCTTTATTGTATATACAAAAGTTTTACCTCCTAAAGTTGATTCTGTTTTTTTCCAAACCCAAAGGGTTTGAAAGTAGCAATCATGACTGATCCGGGAGATTACGGACCCTTTATACGGAAAAAAATACTCTCATAGGTGTTAATTTAGTTATGGTGGGATTAAAATTTTAGTGTGCTTCTGACAATAAAATTATACAGTGAAGCCTTGCCAGGTACCTACCTGGTGACCTTAACGCGTCCAACACCATGAAAACATCGTTTTAACGGCTAAAAACACCTAATAAACACCGTTTTAATGGCTAAAAACACCCCAAAACACCCTTTTTAGGGCTGAAACACAGCTTTTCGGACCAAAACGCCTACAATTGTGTATTTTAATTTTGTAAACCTTGCCAGGTACCTACTTGGCGACATCTAGTCGACCTGACCCTGTAAGGCTTCCAGCATTTCAGCCTCTATTCGCATTTCTTCCAGCATTTCCATCCCCCCTATCCGTACCCCCTCTATAACCCCTTCTTTTTCCGCATCTATTGCTCTTTGTTCTTCCCTTTCCCCCGAACACTACTCCCAAGACATACACATATGGAACCAACTATTTATAATTTACCTTCAATCATTGTTATATTTTTGGTATGATTGTAAAGTTAATAAATAAATAATATGCGTGGGTATACCTTGGTGAATCCTGTCTTCTGGATTTTCAAGCCAACAATCAATCACATAGACGGATTCGGAAATGGCAATTAGGATGTGAATGCCTTTCAGACCTCCGTAAACATAATCCACACTCGAATTCCAGCGTTCCGACTCATCCATCCTTTTCCGAACTTGATTCTGTGTTTTGCCACTATACCTATTCCGCCCATGGTTAAGATGATGACCGTCATGTCCTTCTAGTCGGTATGCCTACACATTCTTACGATGCGATCCATCTTTTCCGGACAGTTGAAGTAGAGCTGGAATTTGTTATGCGTTCTCCTGAATAGCGTCATGATTGCTTTATTTGTATGTAGGAAAGTCTTGTCTATAAATTGTTGATTTTATCAATTTTAATGTGGGGCGTACATTAAAGTTGTGTCATATCCTAATATCTAATCAATCTTTACCTAATAGAACGTTTTTCATCCCAATCCTTATCAACACATCGGTCGGTTTACCATTTTTATGTAATTCATCCAGAAATTTGTAATACTCTTCTTCCTCTTTAAAGTCACGCGTAAATTTTTCTTCATCTGTTTCCTCTCTATGTTCCACTCTCATCTCTTCCGTTCCCTCCTTTAGCCCCGCTAAGGTTGCGGAGTTAGGAAGCCTATCATACACAATATCCGTCGGTTCACCTAGGTGAATCCTATCCTCCGGACTTTTAAGCCAGCAGTCGGTCGAATCAACGGATTCGGAAATGGTAATTAGGATGTGTATACCCTTCAAATCTCCGGAAATGTGACCTACACCTTTAATTCCGGCGTTCTTTCCTATTCACCCCTTTCCAAACTTGATCCTGTGCTTTACAGTCAAATTTCTTTCGCCCATGGTAGAGATGACGACCGTCATTGGTATATTTACACATCCTCTCGATCTGGTCCATTTTTTCCGGACAGTTGAATTAGAGCTTGACTCTGCTGTTTATCCTCCTGGGTTAGGTCATGATTGCTCTATTTATATGTAGGAAAGTCTTGTCTTTAAATTGTTGATTCTGTACTTCGATCTACTTGGATCTACTTAGGGTTACTTGTAAGCAAATTTAAGGTTACTTAGTAAGTAAACCCAAGATACCTTATGAGATACCTTAAATCTACTCGAATTTCGGATCTACTTGGTAAGTAAACCTAAGGCTACTTGTAAGCAAATTGTAGAGTATAATAAAGGATGACAGAGATTAACTCAGGTACAACCGAACCCATCACAAATCCGGTAAAGACCCACGTCAAAGACCCAAGAAGGGTTGAGGCAGGACACAGACTTGCTAAGGTCAGTCTGGAGGCAAAAGCCAGGAAGCGCGCACAAGGTGAAGCGACTAAGGAAGAGAAAAACCTTTTGGACGCAGAGAATAAATGTGAAGGGTCGTTGGTTGGTATTACTGTAGGACTTGGAGACCTCTACATTATGTGATGTAATCGTCCGGAGAAGAGCGAAAAGATGGAGGAAAGCAAATCCGCAGGGTGGTCCTGATCTGTTTGACTGAGGCCGATCCGAATATAAAAGTTTCTGCTATAATAAAACACAATGACCGACACAAAGAAGGAAGTGATCAACGAACTATATGATGCCACACTGCTGACAACCGGAGCCGTCGGAGTATCCTACCTTGCCAAACCGGTTACTGGAAAAAGTCTCGGTGCACCGATGACCCTGGAAGGAGCGGCGAAGTTGGCTGTTGCCGTAGCCGGAAGCGCTTTTACCATAGGGTATCTGAAAGATAAGGGATACATTCCAAAAACGATCGATAAATAAAAAATTACATCCGTTGTAGTCGGAGGACTGAAAAACTTGCGAAAGCAAAGGAAAAGTTTTATGAATCCGAAGTGAAGCGGAGGAACGACGAAGCTCGACGTCGGGCTGAGATCCTGGATGCTAACAAGGACATTGAGGAAACAAATAGAGCGCTGGAAGATTTGAGAGATTTTACGAGACTCATGGACGACTCGGCATCCCAGCGGAAACCAAAATTGGAAGATTACTATCAACCGTCGGACGAAATGAAAAGGTACGCGATGATGACGATGGGTATTTTATGAGTTGGCTGTGACTACGGATTGACACGAATATTTTAAGTCTTACAAAAAGATTTAAAAATCTTATGTTGTCAGAAGCGAGTAATTTATGTTGGTAGTTTTTGTTTTGTTGGTTACATTTCCAGCAGAGTCTATGTCCCTGGATTTCATACCGAAAATTTGTACTTTAGACTTTGTAGTATCACCAGGAACGAAAAATGTGAATGAAGCTTGGATGATTCTACTGCTTTGATCGCGTGTAAAAACAACAATGGTTCCTGCACTACCCACGTAAAACCCGTACAGGGAGGAGGATGTTGCCGTATTCTTCCCGTCGCTGATGTTTAACCTGGTGAATTTTGCGTTTTTTCTGTCTAAGTCGGAAATAATGGGAGTTTGTAAAACCCCGGGAGAATATCCAGGTATTTGAGTAAAGTTGTATTGTTCCGAATGTTGTCCGAGACTGTTTAGTTTTTTAATGTCATTGGTATGTGCAACTATTGCTGCTGTGTTTTCCTGTTGTCCCTTTTGAACTACTGTTAATTTTTGTTTTAAGGTGTTTATATCTTCTGCCGCTGTATCGAAATAGTCGTATCCGAGTAAGATGCTCATTTTATTTAACGTCGAAATACTAAATACGCATTTCCAAAGGATGTTGCCACTATTGTACCAAGGGCAATATTCTGACTGTCAGACTTCTGTCTTAACTCCGGTGGTTTCTAATCTTTCACTGTCGGAACCGGTGTGATGTCATGACTGGTACTTGGACTTAGATCGGTAGTACTTGTGGAGTGATCGACAGGCTTTATTCCGGTGTAATTTACCTTTTCATTTTTTCCGAACATCATCCCGTTCTTAGTCACCGTTAGGATGTTGCTGAACCCTTGAATGGGTTCCGTCAAAATCCTCAGATCTGAAGGGATTAGGATTAAACCTAGCATAATTGCAAAATTTAGAATAACATGGGTACCGGAAAGAGCTGTTCGCTTATTGGAATTGGTAACCCTGACATCGTCCTGAACGATTGTGTCCTTCGTCACCTTCTGAAAGACTTCCTGCGTTTGTAGACTCTTTGCACCCTGTCCCGTAATACTCCATCAGGTTTTAGCTTGCGCCCCCAGGACGGAAGACACGAAAGCCTCGATTGACTGTTGGAATAGCTTTTGTCCAACTCTGGTGAGTCCTGGCATGCTTTGGGTATAAGGATCTTGTAATCATTTTCAACGTCGGAGGGGGACCTGCCGGTCAGGTATTCGTATTCGATAAATGTGCCTCCGTATTTGGTCTGATGATATTTTTGACGTCGTTTCCTTTTCCGGACATCTGCCGGCTTGTCGTAGTTCTTTTTTTCCCACGATTCGTGAACGGGTGTGAATTTTCGGATGGTTCGTATATCGTCTTCCGTCATGTACTGATTAAGAAGTTTGGGATTACGCATAAATCTTGAAAGGCGGAAATGGAGGTGAAAGCAAACGATGGAGGTTTCTATGTTGGAGTGTGAGTCCGGAAGATTATTCGTAAGATGATCCTCGTAAATTTCACACTTGAATGTTGTAACATAAGCTGCGGCCAGGGAGCAAAAGTAGGAATTGGAATGGTAGTCGATTGGTAGCACGTCAATGAAGATACCCTTAGGCTTATCGTACGCCGGTTTAATGGGTTCTAATTTTGTTATGAGACTTTCGGTCTTCGTAACGTAAACTTTGAAACTGTGCACATTCATTTTAAAATTTTTGTTCGGACGAAAAATCATGTCCGGAAGAACACTTCGCCATCCCTCTACCCATTGGAGTTACCTCGTCCACTTGCGATTTGAACGAAACGTATCGGACGTAATGTCGCAGCTCGTGAGACTATCCACTTTGTAGAAGATGTCTCTGGACTCCACGGTTCCGTCCTTGGCAAAGGTAACCTCAAAGTCAAATTTAGACAGGGTTGCGTTGGGATACTTTTTCCTAAAATTTTCTTTCATTTCCCGCATTTCGATAGGTGTGGCGGCCTTGACCTTATCGTAAGTTTCCATAGTAGTTTTTAAATATATCCTCACTCATTCTTTTATTTGATGTAAAGTTCTAACAAAACATCTCCCGGAACAACTCCGGTGTTCGATCCGATTTTAAACCGGATTTCGTTGTACCTTCCAGCATCCACCCGTACCTGACTTTCAATGCCATTGTACTTGGTCACGGTTCCGAAAAAAGGTTTGGTTCCGTCGATCGGAAGGGAGGTGATAATGGTACTCCGATATCCGCCCGGTCCGATGTTGTGCTCACGGTTCAAGTGGTTACAACTGACCGTGAGGCATTGCAAACCATTGCGAATATCTACGGGACGGTCGCCGATGTGTGGAGTGTACGTAGGAATCGAGGGTATCCCAAAATCCCCGTGAGATTTTGAAGTCTCATCGTCTTTGTCCCACTATCGAGGTCGATCTTTATTTTCCGTCTGGATATTCCTTGAACGTCAGTCCGTTCTCCTCCATCTTTTTTCGTAGCTGTTTAAACGTCCAATATCCTTCGTCCATTATAACTTTCTTTGCATTGACGGAAATGTAGTCATTGTAACCCGTGCGAACGTTTTTGTAATTCCAAAACACAGCAGCAGTTTTTACGAAAAGTTCGGATTCGTAGGTGAGGACCAAAGGATCCCAAAGATCTAAAGTAACCCCTCCGTCTTCGATGTAAGTCGTTATCTTCTTCATGTTTATTTTCCGATAATAAAATGAGTTTGCAATTGGATGTAACTCTTCGAGAAATATATTTTAACGTCAACGGTGGGTGCATGTCGATGGAAAAACTATATCAAAAGGCTAAGGAAAAAGGTGTACCTGGTGTTAGCCGAAAAAACGTCAGAGAATGGTTGCAAACACAAAACACGTACATCATTAACAAGCCATCCAGGAAGCATTACAAAACCAAAAGGACATTTGTGGACGGACTTGCACAACAGATCCAGATGGACCTTGTGGACATGAGCAAGTTCAGCTACAAGAATAAGGGAAATCGTTGGATTTTGACTGTCATAGAAGTTCTGAGTCGGTATGCCTTTGCCGTTCCCGTCTGGAGAAAAAATACTGAAAGTATTAAGGGAATACCCGCAATCATGATATTATAAGGTAATAGCATACGGGAATACCCGCAATCATGATATTATAAGGTAATAGCATAAAAAGAAGCGAATTAGCTATTGAAACGTCCCGCCCGATGAGGGTCGTTTAGCAAAATTCCCTTGGGCGACGCTCGATTCGGGTCATTTAGTAAAATTCCCTCGGGCCTTCGGCCCTCGGGAATTTTACTAAATGACCCTCATCGAGCGGCGCCCAAGGGAATTATACTAAACGACCCTCATCGGGCGGGACGTTTTAATA